GAAACATGAGCTTCTACTTAAACATCCATGTTAAAGTAATTTGTAATTTTTAAACTATGAATCCTTCAAAATCATCTTAAAAACCCAAGGATCTTGGATGTCTTGTGGACGATCCCACACTACCAGATATAAAGGTGCAAACACTGTCACTGGTGGTGTTTCTTCTCAAAAAGGTACACTCTTATATTTGATATTTTTCACATTTAATGGATGGACATCAGTAGAAATCTTGGTAGAGGCAGCTTTTAAGCCTTGCATATGGGAAATGTGTGACAAGCTAGTTTTAGGGAAGATTCCTTCATTGGTAACTGAAGGTAGAGGTGGTTTTTGTTTTTTAGGGTGCCATTGGCCATGCTGGAGTGTGAGAGAGCTGGCTTAGGGGTAAATAAAGAGTAGGATTGGAGGGGTGGGGTTCTGCTGAAAGGCAGCAAACCTTCTCTAATTGGCACTTGACATTTTTTTTGCTGTGGCTGGATAAAGTGGACCCTCTCTCAAGACCACTCCAGACGCTTGCTGGAAAAGTGCCTTATGCAAATACTGCAAATAGGAGCCATTGTCAGGCCTCTGACATTAACAGCTGAGGTAACAATAGGACTGTGTGCTTTCAGTGGACATGTAGGTGTGTTGAAGAGAGCGCAGGACAATGTGGCAGAGAGTGGACAGCATGTGAAAAGCCATCCAAATGATGCTTCGGTGGGGGGCAATGTCACTTCAACAGAGCAAGTACTAATTCGCCATGCCCAGGCCTCAACAGAATAGCCCATTAAAATTGAACATTCAAAAAGATTTATGACTTTTCATCATCTGGAAATTTGTTTTCTCCACCTGCTTTTCCAGTCACCAGCTTAAAAAAAAAATCGAAATAACACCCAATGTTATTGTCATGTTCGCAGTCAGCTATTTTTCAGACACAGCCTAAACATGATGACATTATTCAATTGCCCATTCATTCCTTTAGACTAAATTTAAATGTCTAAACGTGAACGGTGTGGTCTTCTTGTCGCCGTACAGCGCGTGTGATGAATCAGCCTTTCATGTAGTCAGGACAGCGTTTGGCTACACCTGTTACTGCTGAGTGTTTAATCCCCTTTGTGTGTGTGGGCCCATTGACTTCACTAACAGCCTAAAGGGAATTCACAGTTCTTTGGGGCGACGTCAGGGCGGGAGGGGGGTCAGAGAAAACGGCGTCTATTCCTCAGTTTCCTCTCCAACAGTGCAGCCATTTTGGGGCTCGGTTGGTGAGTTCCGTCCAAAGAAAGAGAAGCATTGCCGGGGGCAGGAATCAGAGCGCCGCTCACCAAAAGCAGCCTGGCTGATGTGACTGGGATGCTGTCAAAAGGTTGGTAAAGGAATCCATTGTCTCTGTGACAAGTGGACTGGCTCTATTGACAGTACAGTTGATGGGAGAGGGGAGGAGGGTGGTAAAGATAAGGGCATAATGCCTGTTTTTCTAGTTGACACTTGAAGTCCGAAACGCAAAGTGCAAAAAATACACCATTTGCGCTTTTCCTTCCTGTTCCTCTGTTCCGTGCTCTAAAGAAAAACTGAGAAGAGACCATTCGGAGTTTGATTAAAAGCCAGCAGCAGTGGCATTCATTCTTCCTCACAGGCCTTGACATGTCAAACCTGAATGCTACCTGCTGCCTTTATGCTAATCAGTCATTGCTAACCATTCAAGAAGCATATTGTTGATATTCACTTAAAATTGAAGGTCAGTGCTCTTAGATCTTTTTTTGTGTGCATATATATGAAAAAATAAGTCTAAATTAAGTAACTACAGCAAAAGGGACAGCTTCAATGAGAGGAGAAAGGACTGTGTTGATCTGCTACACACAGGTTAAGTTTAATGCTTAAAATGCTTGTACTATCAAGGCCAGCTAAGTTTTTGAGTTTGTTGCACAGATTATTGCTAAAATAGCAAACAATCAGGTTGGAAGACATTGATTCTCAATGTGTTTAAGGAACTTTATCACTGTACACAAATAACAGGGTTTTAGTGCACTGCAATTTGTAGAAAGTGGTCTAAAACCATGTGCAGGGCATGATCTAGTCAAACCTAAGGGAACCAATTGTGCAGTTGTAAAGCACATGAAGTACCGACTTAATCAGTCTGGCTCAAACTAATTCATCTGCTCTCACTGACAACGTTTAGACTCTATTTGTCTTTTGCTTTCAGAGACGAATAGTTTAATCCCTGCACCTGCAATGCAGCAGCACTGTGTGTCTGTGGCTTCAGCAGTAACACAAGCTGAATGACAGCAGCTCTCCACACAGATTTCCTGTCATTTAGTGTACATCACTACATCTGAAGTGCAACTGTTACTAAACAGCATTGCTCGAACAGTAATTCGATATCTCCAAACAAGGTCCAATTAAAATTACTTTTTAGGAAAGCTGCTGGTGGTAGCAATCACAATCTTTAGAGTGAATGGGAATTCTAGTATTGCCCTGCTTTTTAAGTTTTTTTTTAACAATTAAAAACTCTTCAGATTCATCTGCTGAATCCACAGACCTGCATTCAGGACCTTCCCAACAAGCTTTGACACTTAGAAAGCATCCATCCCAAAGCTGGCACCATCCCAGCCCCATTTACACCACAGCCAACTGTCACATCCAATCAAGAACCTCTCAGCACAAACTTAACAAATTCGAGTCCAGACAATCGATGTTTGTTTCTCAGCGTTGGCTCCAAGGTCCGAATGCATTCGCAGCTTAGAATAGGAGCCAGATTTGCGTGGGAACACTTTAGCCCATTAATTATTCAAATGCATGAGTTGAATCAAGCACCGGGTAGGTGTTGAAAAAGACAATGGGGTAACGAGTGAATGACAAAAGTAACCAGTGAATGAGCTTGAAGACTAATACTTCACTGAACTGGGTTTTAGTATAGGCACCCGTGGGTGATTGTCATGTGGACCTTGCGTTAAGCCTTGGCCTGCTGCTCTCAGACTAGCAGCTTACGGATTAAACGTGATCATGTTTGACCGAAATGCCATCGCACTCCATATAAACCATAGATTTTGTATAAAAATAAACATCCTGTATCTAGACATGGGACGATAACGTCAAGGTTTTAAAACTGCCAACATTTTCTGCTATATCATTCCTCAGGTATGAGTACGATTTTTTTTTTTACATGTTTTGTTTTTTAGGACAACAGTATCTCCAGCAGAAAAGATCTCCAAAAATTCAATATTAAATTGTACAGAAATCTGTGCTTTTGAAACAAATGAGGCCAGCAGATTCAGTGATTTATTTGAATTATTCCAATGTCCAATGTCGAGCCAACTTTTTAAACCAACATCATATTGACGTCAAATACTGACATTTATTCTTCAGGTATGGTAACCAAAATCCAACTACTGATAGACATCATAGTCGTAACATCCACACAACTTCAAGCTGTAACATCATTAGATGTTGATATTTGGTTGATTTTAGGTTGGACTGTGGACACTGACGTCAGCCTGAAGTTGGGTTCTGATGTCAACCTGATTTTCATTTACAAACAAAATGCAACATCCCCTCGATCTTGGGGTACAACAGCATTCTGACATTATTATGTTGACCCTCTGTGGTTGCCAGGGTGTTTACTGTTCTAAATATTTTAAATGTTTCTCAAACATTTAAAATCAGAATCTTGTACTTGCCCATGCCTACCTGTATCATACTTTAATCTACCTAAGAACCTACATATAATCAGTGGGATACTACTAATCATTGCTCAGCATTTCTTTTGTTGTCTGCATTATTTGTAATGAAAGCCATTGCCTACTGACGTAAATGTTGCTTTTCTTGTTCCTCTTAATTTTTCATGTATTCTGTGCCGCTATGAATCAAAAATCTCATTTATTTGTTTAATTTATGACAGATCTAGTCTCTGAGTAATGCAATTTACTCCAAAAAACTAGTCTTATGATTTGTCTGATTTAATTTTAACGCTCGCATGTATCATAAATATGAACAAACTCCATAACAGGCTTCCTCAAAGAAAGCAAAATAAATACATAAATGAATAAATAAATGAATATAAATAAATAAATATGTATGTATGTATGTATGTATGTACAGTATGTATGTATGTATGTATGTATGTATGTGTGAGAGAGAGAGAGTGCTCAGCATAATAGAGTACACCCCATTTTGAAAGTGAATATAGTCAATGTATTTTGGTGCATTACAAAAACAGATTTATCAAACAGATAAATTTATTTAGACAATAATTTAAGTCACTAAACATATTAAAAAATTTAACCATAATACAATTAAATTCAAGTAAAATATTGCAAGTAAAATTGCAACCTACAAAATTTCAACTAAATTGTTCCTTTTTATATATATATATATATATATATATATATATATATATATATATATATATAAATATATATAGCTTTTTTTATTTTTCCTCTTTTTAAAATAAGTATTTAATATTTTTCTATAACATAAATTTGGGTGTGCTAGTTTTTGGACCGTTATCTTAAGGTATTTTGTTACATAAGCTCCGGATTTTGTTTCAGTGCTGACTACTCTAATGTATTTGCGCAAATATAATATTGTATAGCTCCCTTTTAAAAATATGAATTTAAAAGATAGATTTGTGAGGAGGGGTGCACTTATATAAGCTGAACATGTAGATGATTTGTATTTTAGTTCTCCTTGAAATTTCTAACGCACCTTTTACAATAGCATTATGTACACTAAAGTACTATTTTTACCTGCATAAAAGAGCAATGAGAGAGACTGGGTATATGAGGAAAGATGATGTTGCATTATACTTTATATGAGAAGCAGGAGGAGATAATCACAGCTTATTTCTAAAAAATGCTGCTTACCTTCCATATCAGCACTGATGGAGGCCATTTTGTGGCTTGCTCTCACAATAAAATGATGCAGAGATTGAAACTGAGAGAGAGGGAGACTTGGGAGGGAAAAGAGGAGAAGAGGAGAGGGGAGGAGTACAGATCTCAAGGTGGGGTGATGCCTTTCAGGTGTGTAATGGGATTCTTGTTACTTTCGGTTATCTAGCTTTATGAAGAATGAATAACACTCATACAGCTAGATAACCAAAGATAACAGCCAACCCCTCCGGCCACCCGTCCATTTCCATCCAACCAGGGCTGAACTGCAACCTGAAAAGAGAACAGTTTTTTTGGTTAGGGTTGTAATTAGAAAGTCAACTGTATTTAGATCAACTCTAGCGTTAATTAAAACTGACGTAGGTTATCTGTAAATGATCACAGTGCTGAGACTGCACTGCTTTCAAAACTGTTTATTTCTCCTGCATCTCTTGATTGGGTAGCTTAAACTTGGCTATGACTTCACCAGTCTGTTTAACCAGCCTGAACTGGTTTATAGAGATGCAAAGAGTCCATTCACTTTCTTGTTGTCTCTGTCTTAACATTGCAGGCTGATCATTCTCCCTGGGTGAGAGATGGCTTCAAACGCATCCCGCAAAGGCTGGGATTTATTTTTAAATAGGGGGGAAAAGACCCTGACTGTGCTGATGGAAAAAAAGGAAAATTAATAGTAACACTAGTTGCTTTAGTTTTCCGCAGATTTACCCTCAAGTTGTTGTTTGTGTTTCAAAAGCTTGTCTTTCACAGCAAAGTGCTAGAATCATGAGGTCTTTCTCTCTCTCAGCCTCACTCACTTTCTTTCTCACAACTCTGTCAATCTGATTTTATGCAAATAAAAGAGGAGCTGGTCCAATTAAAAGCTTTTGTGTGAGAGGAGCCCCTCCCCATACTCTCTCAGAGGTGTTGCAATCAAAGAGGAGAGAGAGAGAGAGAGAGATAGAGAGAGAGAGAGAGATTCATTACTTATTACAGCCTTTCAAGCCTAGTGAAAATGGCGACACAGGGGCGAGTTCAAACACTTTTATTTACTCTACACACAGCTCATCATCTAATTATTTTACTAACAGCACCAGCACATTGTTAACAGGACAAAATGTCCTCAGCCAGCTAGCCTTTCTGACTGTAAATTAGAAAGCTTGAAGCTTCCCTGTAAATGAACAGTTAGCACACACAAACATTCTTGTATGATACACAGGTAGGCATGTATCCTTTTAAAATGAAAAATAATGATTGACAAATATTATGGCATATTTAATTAATAATTATAATTATTATAATGACACAAATGTGATTACCTCACATCTAGTATTAAAAGCAACAATAATAACCATAATTGGTTGTTGCTATATGATGTGTAGATTATCACAATACTTGTATGCACGGCACATTTCGCATATTTCTGCTTGTCACATTTCACATTGCACTGCAAAAAATATTAATTGATGCCAGGAATTTGTTAAAAGTCTCACTAATTAACTAGTCGATTAAACTGGAGGGATTTAGTTACAAACTGATCTTTAAATCTAGCCACCTAACACCGCAGATATGCACTCGTGATTTGCTGCAGTCGTGTGACTGAAGCGATTACAGGCTATAAAAATATTTATTTTGTGCTCTGTTTAATCTTAATGATTCGAATCACACCGTTGCAACATATATGGCCAATCTACAGTATTTCTGATATATTTTAATCTGAAATAAATCAGGATAAAATCTGGTTTTCATGAAATCATGGTTAGCATAATTCAACTGGTTCGCGTTTCGTTGTTGCTAATGAGAGTTATATGTAATGGAAACAATTGCAGATGTGATATTCTGCATTTTACATCATTTCCTTATTTGTTTCTTTCTGTTCGTTTGCATTATTAGATATGCTTAATGCAAATGTGTGTTTTTATATTTTGTCCCAGCGAAAGGGCAAGAATTTTAGCAATTTAGACTAATATGAACTAACAAAAAAAGTTAAACCCGATATAACCTAGATTTAAATAAGAAACTAAATTAAAAAGGCTGTTCGTGTTGATTTAAAATAGGGCATACAAGCTAAAACGTTTTAATGAAACTTTAGAAAGTTTGTACACTTGTCCAAAAATTAAAAGGGGAATAATTTTAAATCATACGAACTGATTTTTGTTTTGTCAATTAACTGATTGTTGTATTTTATTGTGTATTTAGTTTTTTTTTCAGATCTACTATTAAAATTAATTACTATAAATATGCTAAAGCTGTTTACATAATTTATCATCTAAAAATCTGTTTTTACATTTTTTGTTGCAGAATTCTTTTAGTCCAACTATCCACCTAGGCCTATGTATTGTCTTTTAATTTCACACATTTTCGCTATAGTCTCGATGTGTACAATATGTATACAATGTGATCACTGTAAACTATTTAAAAATAGAATAGTATACTTTTAACTACCTGCCTCTCGAGTAAAATATCCCTCCCTCTCTAAAGCGCGTCCCACGTAGGAGGAAAAAAGCAAAATGTGAGAAAAAAATAGCTATGCCCGGTTGTCGACTTAATAAATACACTTTATTTCAGTGCTACTGGGTGAGATTAAGATGTTTCTTAACAGAGACAGACCACACCTTAACGTCCGCTATGGTGATTTTTAAACGAGCCAGATTGGCTGTAATCTATCAGTAACTTTTTTATGCCTCACCAATGTTCTCCACAATAATTCAGACTCCTGATAGCTTGTGATTCTGTCACAATAAGCAAACTGATTAAATGCAAGAAAGACTTGACACGTAGTCAATACATATATTGAATTTACAGAAGCATTTGTAATGTCGGTCATTCTTCGATATGATTGTTAATATTTAGGCTAGTAATATTGTGGGGTGTCTAGGCATACTTGCATATAGGCTATGTCGGTGTAAAATTTTATCATCCATTATAAATTCAATTTTGTAAAACATTCATCAGTATCTATATGATACACCCGACAGATCAAAACGCGCGTGAAAGAGGCACGTGGAGAGCAGATATTCGGCCTTGTGATAAATCTGAACGCTGACCATCAGGATTAGACACGTCATGCGCAAGGCCTCCTTTTCATAAACACCCTACAACACAATTTTACAGTCATTGTGCCTTCGTTACAGAAACACATATGGTTGTTTAGTATTTTTTTTCAATAATACTTTTTATTATTTCAATTACAGTCAGATGGTGTATATAACCCCAAATTGTGTTGTTATTCTTGCTTTATCATGTGGTTTAATGATTAAAAAATAGATTCAATCAAAACTAATCAACAAACACAAACCTGTTTATAATAAAACTATAGATATTCTCAGTGAAAGCATTTAAATAAAACTAAAAGACTGCTGACATTTTCTATTATTAATTTTTTTACATATAATTTTATTTTAAGATTTTGTTCAGAAAGCACAGAAATTGGCATATTAAAGTCCCATCAAAGCACTGGCTTTACACCATTAATTTACAAATTAGAGTAGAAGCTCCATTTTCAGACATGAGTTGAGTGTTTTCTGCATAACGGTTTCCTAACGCTTAACCCATTCACTCAATGAAAAAAAAAATGCCGACAGATATGATTGACTATTTCCATATATTTGCGTCCAAAAAGGATGCACGCGCCCTGATCACTCCTATAACATCAGCGCGTCTCGAGCGCCAAACCTTAACGACCGCTACACGCGCAACCTGTTCTGGGAGTTATCAATTCGCGCTTCACCCTTGCAAAAACACCATTTAAAAATCGTCCACTGAAGCAGTCTACTATGCAAACGTAAACTCTGGCTTATACTCACTCCTATCCTCGAGCATCGATGGTATTCAGGACCGATCGTAATGATAAATATGCGCGTGCGAGCTGCGTGCACTCCAGAATGTTGTCTTGCGCTTTGGTCCTCCGCTTCATGGCTGCGGCTCCGCGTGACGTTGCAGTGGCCCCATCCATTCAGCTTCTCCGTATCGGGCTGCACGCAGTCTTTTCACCCATATTTCCCATTGAGATGCTCCTCTCCTCCCCTACGGAGAGTGAAATGAGCTGCTCGTTGTCCCCCCTCTTATCATTCCGCGTATTAAACGCTTGTGGGCCTCATCCTGCAAGCCAAAAAACATATAGCATATTTTAAGCCCTCCCCTTATGACACGTTGCGGTTACAATTTGTCCCCACCCTCTCGAATTAGCAATGCAATGCTGCTTAAATATACTGAGAAGCATTTTAATTTGCGCTCTTTTGTTAACAATTACGCTCGTAAGTGCTTTCTATAATAGGTTTTCTTAGGCTAGACGTAAAAATAAAGGTTCCAAATGGGTAATGCCATTTTGGGCTTCCAAAAAACCTTTCTTAAAAAGGCCAATTTTCTTAGTTGGAAAAAGACTTTAATAACCGTGAGAACCTTTTTTTCATCATCAGTAATGTTTTGTAGATTGGAAAGTTTTCACTCGAAATAGTGATTCCATTTTCCCCAGTGATGCCTTATAACATCCAAAAGAGCATTTATTTCTATGGTCTTTGTAGAGTCATGTGATTGATAATGTGAACAACAGTTTAATAACCTAAATAATCCTCTTCACTATAACCTACGAGAGATCGGGGATTTTTGTTTCACGGGTTTTCATCAATCCTCAATGCCAACAAAGAATCTTGATTTTGAAGTCCATGTTAAAGGTTCTTCGTGGAACCATTAATGCCATAAAACATTTTGTTGGCACAAATCAATTAATGCGGCTTGGTGCAATTTAGTCTGACCATTTGCTGCGTAAAGATTCATTCCATAAGCATCATTCTATATCTGCATCATCCGTAAGGCCTCGATTGTTGTGATGCAGTAGTGAATAAGTGCCCTTTGTAGGAGAACCAAGAACACTTTGACTTCGAGACTCCTTTAACAGTAACCCACAGTCTAAATCAAGTGCACTTGCTCCCAGCAACCCTTTGTCTTTGCCTTTTTTCCGTAAGTGTCTAGGAATGTGACCACTGAATCGGCAGGGTGAAACCGTGCAAATCAGCTTTAACCGTCAGGACCGAGAGTAGACCCCAGACAAGGGGACAGAAAGAGGTCTCGGTAGGTTGATTATCATAAGAATCAGATCGCTGGGGATAAAAATCTCCTTTGAATAAATTACCGGTTCAATAGGAGGCGCGACTGCCAAATAGACAACTCTGTCAGAGGCCGCTGGTCTTGGTTTTTCCATCAGTCCCTTTTTTCTAAAAGCCCAGGCTCTTTATGCATTCTCTGTCTCAAAT